CTGTGGGAGAGAGTCGTCCCCCAGCTCCTTGAGGTCCTGGGGCCGCAGATATTTGTCAGTGTCGCCGGTCATTGCATCCTCACCTGGTGGAAAAGTCCCTCATCAATACTTCAAAGGCAATCCGGGCAAAAAGAGCATTGCGGTACTCCTAGAAAAACCTTACCACAGCTTTATAAGAGGCCTTGGATAATTTATCAATGTCACTCTGATAACTAGTGGACCAGCATAGCTCTCCTGTTGGTAGGCTACTCATTGGGCTATAGTGAAGCTAAATAACAGCTACTCAGGTCTAGGCTACTTGAAATGAATGACACGGTAATAAATCCGTTCCAATCTATTCATAGGCTAATGAAGTCCCTTAGCTTGGAGATAGAGAAAAGCTACTTGCAGCATAGCTCTCCTGTCCAGTAAAACCAAACGCAGTTTGTATTGACACTCAAGCCAAAAAGCACAGAGGGTTAAACGCTAGCAGAACTCAAGCCGCAAGAGCACCTCGATTATCAAGGAGAAAAACACAGCAGTCCTTGTCGCGACAATCTATCCCCTTCTCCCCGACTCCAGCATGCAACAAACACTTCACTCTTCCACTGCAGCCCCTCCCCCCAGCAGTCCTACCTCTGCCGCACTCTCGCTCAGATGGGCTACAATGTCGCTACAGCTCTTTGCTACATTTTATTCAAATACGCTCCCATTCGCACAGTGACTGTAGAACATCAAAGGTGAGTAGGTTTTTCAAAGCTAATGCAGTAGACTACTGAAGAATATAACGTCATAGCATGCCAGCATGAACAATTCTCTTCTCCCTGTCCCAGCTTGCTCTCTCTCACACACGGCTCCCGCCTCAGCTACCCCGTAGCCTACAATATTCGACTGAATAGTGCTGCATTCTGCCACACAACTACGAAATGGCTTTATGCACCAATTCCCTGTGTCAAATCCATGCGACAGCACCCCTCCATGAACTACAGCCTAGCCTTCATGACTTACATAGAAAAACTGCCATGTCTGTCACCACTCTTATATTCCCGTGTTTGTCTTTATATTCCAATTATCCGCAGAACAGTTAACTTCCCCAAATAAATCCAGAGAGAGACGAGAGAGGTAGAAAATAAATCCCATACAGTCATGTGGTTGCAGCTGAAAGAATCCGAGGTTGAATTATTTGGTTTGGCTGTCCTTCCAGCAAAGGCCTATCCGAAAGCCTACTTATTGTATCTGCTGCAGTTGTTGCTAGTGTAGGGGCGGACTGCACCTCTGCCGCTGCTCTTCTGTCTCCTGCTGCAAACAAAGTTCAAACTATGCATACTTTTCCCGGTAGAGCACATCCGTGAGCGAAAAAGTAAATGAGGATGCCATTTAAGGTCGGAACAAGAGAGGTTGCTTTGCTAATGCATCTAGTTGGCTCAGTGAAAGCTAATCTCATTGGATTTGGAGATAAAGTCCACCAGTCCGGATAGCACCTCTGTCAATGGAGGCTGAATGGCACCAAAAACACAGCGGCAGAAGGATAGAGAGGTACTTATTTTACGACGGCGATAAACTCAGTTTGGTGAGACTGGAGGGAGAAAAAGGCTTTGAAGGACAACCCACTGGAACCCCTCCTGGATTTTTTTCCTTAGGAGGGGGGTGGACGGTGGAAATCTGGCTGCATTCCAAATGGGTGGACCAAAACTGATAATTGGTGCATCTTTTTGTCTCTCAAAGTAGCCTACACTTCAGTAAGTCAACACATTTTTGTAGTTTGGGAGAATTAGGCAACAATTATGACTGGTAACCACTTTTTCATTACATTTGAGTCATTTAGCAGATGCTCTTATCCAGAGCGACTTACATTATTTTGTTTTTTTTTCATACTGGCCCCCCGTGGGAATCGAACCGACAATCCTGGCGTTGCAAACGCCATGCTCTACCAAATGAGCTACATCCCTGCCGGCCATTCCCTCCCCTACCCTGAACGACGCTGGGCCAATTGTGCGCCGCCCCATGGGTCTCCCGGTCACGGCCAGCTACGACAGAGCCTGGATTCGAACCAGAAGCTCTAGTGGCACAGCTAGCACTGCGATGCAGTGGCTTAGACCACTGCGCCATATATATCCTGGGGTTATGCTAGGCTGAAAATAATAATATATATATATATATAAATATATATATTGTTCTTGTTATTTTCAGCCTAGGGGCTGTGCTGTGGACACTGATCCCAGAAGAATGCTGTGAGGACTTTAGACAGAGTGATCTAAGGAATGGGTAGTGGAATCAGCGTGCCACTCTGATTACAGCAGGACAGGAGTGACCTGTCATGGCCAATTGGATTGCCCTCCAGATAAAGAGATTAAGAGAGATGTAAACTTTTTCTGTCTGCACCATGGCATGCACTGTGGACGGACTGTCTAGAATTACTGGTGTAATGTATGGCCAGATATAACACCATTGTTCAGTAAGACTTTTCAGCATAGCTGCCTTGGTCGGTCTTACACTTAAGGCCATTTAGCAACATAGTAAACTGTGAGGATAACATGAACACTAAGAGCAGTAAACATTGCAGTGTGTGTTTATCAGCCCTGGTGTAGACACAGTAAGCACCACCTCTGATCAGTCACCAGATGAGTGTGTGGAACTTGTTGAGTCCAGCAGTATCATCTGACACAGAAACACTACACCCCTCTCTACAGTTACCTATGCAACACTCCATGGAAAAACTCATCCATTTTACAGTGGTGTCCGTTAATTGCTTCCCAAACACTTGGTGATAACTGAAATGGCCAGATCTGTTGCATGTACAGTTTCTGTGTAGTTACAAGGAATGTATAATAATTACTGTATTGTTACCAAATATATTGAAATACCATGTAACTACCATGCATAGTATTTTGGCAACAAAGTTAAATGACCCATAATGAATGTGGGAAAAAACATAAGTTAATTCAGCTTTACAGAAGGAAGGCCTGTCCCTTATAGCAAATTGCTCTAGGGCTCGAATACTTAGCTACATGCAGTGTAACCAGAATGACTGTGGATAGGTCACACCAAACATATCTTATCGCAAGCAAAAGAAAAGTCAAAATGCTCACACACAAACTTAATTTGTTTCCAGGGCTTACTTTCTCTGCTGATTTACACTACCAGTCAAAAGTTTGGACACACCTACTCATTCAAGGGTTTTTCTTTATTTGTAAAAAAAAACAATTACATTGTAGAATAATAGTGAACACATAAAAACTATGAAATAACACATATTGAATCATGTAGTAACCAAAAAAGTGTTAAACAAAGGATTTTTTTTAAAATGCGTTTGAGCCAATCAGTTGTATTGTGACGGGGGGGAAGATAGCCCTATTTGGTAAAATACCAAGTCCATATAATGGCAAGAACTGCTCAAATATTCAAAGAGAAACAACAGTCCATCATTACTTTAAGACATGAAGGTCAGTCGATACGGAAAATGTCAAGAACTTAGAAGGTTTCTTCAAGTGCAGTCGCAAAACCATCAAGCACTATGATGAAACTGGCTCTCATGAGGACCGCCACAGGAATTTATGAGGCTGGTAACTCTAATGAACTTATCCTCTGCAGCAGAGGTAAGTTCATTAGAGTTACCAGCCTCAGAAATTGCAGCCCAAATAAATGCTTCACAGAGTTCAAGTGACATGGCCATTAGACCGGTGGAAATCTGTCCTTTGGTCTTATGAGTCCAAATTTGAGATTTTTGGTTCAAACCGCTGTGTCTTTGTGAGACGCGGTGTAGGTGAACAGATTATCTCCTCATGTGTAGTTCCCACCGTAAAGCATGGAGGAGGAGGTGTTAAGGTGTGGGGGTGCTTTGCTGGTGACACTGTCTGTGATTTATTTAGAATTCAAGGCACACTTAACCAGCATGGCTACCAAAGCATTCTTTAGCGATACGCCATCCCATCTGGTTTGGGCTTAGTGGGACTATCATTTGTTTTTCAACAGGACAATGACCCAACACACCTCCAGGCTGTGTAAGGGCTATTTTACCAAGAAGGAGAGTGATGGAGTGCTGCATCAGATGACCTGGCCTCCACAATCCCCCGACCTCAACCCAATTGAGATGGTTTGGGATGAGTCGGACGGCAGAGTGAAGGAAAAGCAGCCAACAAGTGCTCAGCATATGTGGGAACTCCTTCAAGACTGTTGGAAAAGCATTCCAGGTGAAGCTGGTTGAGAGACTGCCAAGAGCATGCAAAGCTGTCATCAATGCAAAGGGTGGCTATTTGAAGAATATCAAATATAAAATATATTTTGATTTGTTTAACAGTTTTTTGGTTACTACATGATTCCATGTGTTATTTCATAGCTTTGATGTCTTCACTATTATTCTACAATGTAAAAAATAGTAAAAAATAAAGAAAAACCCTTGAATGAGTAGGTGTGTCCAAACTTTTGACTGGTACTGTACATTTGGTGACAATGCTTCAGCCATTGATATCAACTACTGATACATAGCTCAAACAAGATACTCAGAGAAAGCTGCATTTCAGTGAAAGGAAGCAGAGAGAAAGAGGTGTGTTCTGGCTATTATGTTCCAGATAGCCAGGCAAACTCCTAGCAGCAGCAGACAGTTAGTGAAGCAGTGTATCGGCAATGTGGCGAGATGGTTTACTTTCCAACAGGTGAGGCGCAGGTGAAGGAATGGGGTTACGTGAAAAGAGTGAAACATAAACAAAACTACTGCGTAGAAAAATGTGGCAAATACCTTCGTCAACATCTGAAATACAGTCCTCATTGAGAATTTCCGGCACATTAGCCTTAACTGTGTGATTTGAATACATACAGTAAATGGGATGTTAATAAGACACGTCAAATGGCACACTTTCACAAATATGAGATGCATCCACTCATGTTTGAATACACAAAACCCAGGTTAACCCTAACTGGCGAGGATCCAAACACATGATTCCACTGTCATCTCATGGGGGAATGCACGGCTTAGGTTATAAGGGAAGTTTTACAACAGTCACATCATCACATATACTCATACCTTCATCTTCAGACATGTCCAGAAACTCGTTCATGGTCTCTGGGACGTTCATTTTGTGTTTTTCTGTCGTAGTCTGGTGATAAAAGAGGAAAGAGTGAGACATGAATAATGTAGATGAATTCTACTGTACCCAGTGACCCCTGCTTGGCCCTGGGTGTCACTATTAATACATCCCTCCTGACACGTGGACAGATCAGGTCTCAGGGGCTATTTGAGGAGCACCAGGAGATTCAATCTGGGCTTTTCACACAGGTCACTATCAAATATGTGAGGGAGCATTTCTGGAATCACATGGAGTTACTCTTGTATACTGTTTCAGGGCCAAGTACTAATTTGAGATACGCATAAGTAACTCATCCAGTGATTTCAAGGTTTGAGTTGTACAGTATTTTCACACCTCATGTTAGGATTCGGCCCAATTTCATCAGAGGAATAAACTAATGTTTATTAATTTATTCTGTACTTTTAGTGAACCCCAAGTACATGGTCAGATGACTGTAACAAATACTGTACATAGAGACAGACCACTAGTCTGGATTTGCATTTGTTTTACATCCACTAGGAATGCAAATCGATATTTGCTTTGCATTACCATAGCACCATAACACACACAGAGAGATAAGCATGTTATGTACTGCAAGGTGTCTCACGTGTGATAACTGGACTAGTGTTTGGGTATGCACTTCCGTAATCTACACCTGCTACCAGTACAGCAATGGAACACAACTCAAGTCTTCCACTGCTGCTGTGTCTGCTTGCACAATTAGTATCAGATAAAGGTCTGTGTTCATGCCAGGTGAGTAGACTCATCAATGAGTACAATACACCAATTGAGATTTACAGTCAAATTGAGCGCCAGAAGCAATATTCACTGGACAAAGACAAGCAATAACAATGGGGCTAGGCCACACTGGTCCACATGAAAACAGATAGACGAGCAGGAAAACAGAGAGACAAACTAACTTACAGAAAGATAAACATACAGACAAACAAAGGCAAATGGACAAAGAGACAGGCATGGCGTCTTACCACAGAGGTCAGATTCTCATCAGTCAGCGGCATGAGAGTGTCCACCACAGAGATGTAACCAAGGCGACGGGCAATGGACAAGGCTGTGTTCCCGTTCTGTGAAGAGGAGGAGAAGAATTGGAGGTGTAAAGGATAGGAGGTTGTAATATGTGTGTGTTTTTACTTTGTTCTTGTGGACACATTAGTGCTGTGTATGTGTATGTACAGTATACAATGTATGTACAGTATACTATTGTATGTGTCCTGCTGCTCTATTTGTTTCTGTGTATCCCTGCTGACTGGGGCTTCTGTCAGAGAGCTGCTGAGACAGCAGGTTTTCCCATGGTGCCTCACTCACCACGGTCAGCTGATTGGCTGAGGCTCCGTGCTGCAGCAGCAGGTTGATGATTTGGGTGTGACCCTGCTGCGCCGCCTGGTGGAGGGGCGTGTAGCCGTTCTGTGGACAGAGACAGAGAGTAAAGGAGGGATGAGCGGGATGATAGTGAGAGAAAGAATGAGATGGGGAGAAATTGAGGGGAGTGAGGAAAGGGGAATGCAAAGAGAAAACAAGGGGGAGAAAATAGTAATACAAACAGTGGGGCAGCAAGGGAGGGAGAGCGGGAGGGACCAAAACAAAGAGAGTGTTAGGGAGGTGAAATAACACACACACATAACCTGACAAAGGTAAATACGCTCAAATGAACACCACATGGGAGAGATCTTCAGTTGTTTACCTTTGTTTTGCCATCAACTCTGGCCTGGTTCTGTATGAGGAAGTTTGCCATCTTGACGTTGCCATAGTGACAAGCCACATGCAGCGGAGTGTATCCCATCTGTTTTACCCAAGGGAAAGGGACAGAGAGAGGGGGAACAATAGAGAGAAAGAAAGGAAGATGTGAGCTTGTTACTTCTCGTCCTGTGACGTCACAGCCCTCGTGTGTGTAGGACGTAACTAACATTAACTTTACACAAGTGTGACACAAAATTCCTATTATACATCAAGAACTTAATAACACTTCTCTATTAGAAACACCTGATAGAAAAGATGAATGGATGAACAGCCTTGGCTTTCAACCAGTGTGCTGTCAGCACAAACACAGTGTGTAACCTCATGCTGTGTAACCTTGAGCTGCTGTAGGTCTCTGTCTGTGTTTGTGGGGGGGGGGGGGGGGGGGGGGGGTGACGACAATGGGCGGTCTTCTGCATGAAGCAGGGGAGGTTACTGGTAGTGCCGCATGTACAGACACAAACACCTGTCACTCAGGTGTCCTCCTATCCTTTATTCATGGCTCACCTGAGAACAGGTGTGTGTGTGTGGGTAGGTGTTTATCTTTAGCACTTATTTAATGCACTATTCTAAACACATGAATTAACCATCTATAACCCCTGGTCTATGATTGACAGAGGAGAGTTGAAATCAAGGGCATCTCTTTGTCCCACAGGCTTTCACTGTGATAGTCTGTACGGTCTGTTCCCTGTGGTTGCCGTAGAAACAGCGTGACCTTCACCTTTGTCTCAGGGTCGATGTCCGCGCCCTGGTTGAGCAGGACTTCTGCCACGTTGACTTTGTCCTCCTGCGCCGCTAAGTGGAGAGGTGTGAGACCGCTCTGAAAGAGACATGCATGCGCGCATAGACACACACACACGGTTAGAATGCCTTTTTCATGGCTGGGGGATCGCAGCTTTGTCAAAGCAAAGCCTCTTTTCATCCACGTTTTTAAAAAGTAACAGGGATAGGACATTAGCTAGCAGGGAGGTTGTTTTGAAAATCCTGCGGCTGCTTTTGAACTCAGTAAAAAGCATCAGGGAAAATGAGAGACTCAGCTGTGGTCTAATCCACTATGCTAATGTGGCGAGAGGTGTTAATCTGCCTTCAACTAGTGCTCATTACGATGACACAGGCCCTCTAGGCTAATATTAGCGGGCTTAAATCAGCCCCAGAAAAGCCTGGCCACTGGTATGTCTATGTATGTGCCTTTGGTTACATGTGTCTGTGGTTGTCAAATCAAATCAAAAATCTAATTTTATTGGTCGCATACACATATTTTGCAGATGTTATCGCAGGTGCAGTGAAATGCTTATGGTTCTAGCTCCAACAGTGCAGTAATACCTAACAATACAAAGCAATACACACAAATCCCCCAAAAATAATTAAATTAAGAAATATAGTAGTTATATAGGATGAGCCTGGACTAGAATACAGTATAAAAATATAAAGTGGATAAACAGTATGTAAACATAATTAAAGTGACCAGTGTTCAATGACTATGTACATAGGGCAGCAGTCTCTAAGGTGCAGGTCAGAGTACAGGGTGGTAGCTGGCTAGTAACGCTGACTAAATTCAGGGCAGGGTACTGGACAGAGTCCGGCTAGTGGTGACTATTTAATGGTCTGATGGCCTGGAGATAGAAGCTGTTTTTCAGTCTCTCTGACATCTATCCATGGTTTTTGGTTTGGATAAGTTCTAATCGTCACAGTGGGAACAGCATTCTTTATGCACTTCCTGATGAACTCAGTCACAGAGTCAGTGTATACGTCAATACTATTCTCAGAGGCAGCCCGGGAGATTTCCCAGTCTGCGTGATCAAAACAATCTTGAAGCATAGATTTCGATTGGTCAGACCAACGTTGAACATTCCTTAACACGGGTACTTCCTGTTTAAGTTTCTGCCTATAGGAGGGGAGGAGCAAAATGGAGGCGTGATCTGATTTGCCAAAGGGAGGGCGGGGGAGTAGCAATGGTCAAGAGTGCTTGATGAGCGAGTAGCACAGGAGATAAAACTTAGGTAGCGTTTTCCTGATTTCCTTTATTCATGTACCCACGTACAATTAATGTAGCCTCAGGATTTGCGTTTTCCAGTTTGCACAAAGTCCAGTGTAGTTCCTTGAGAGGAAAATTATCTCGGTCGGCATTTGATGGTGAGGTATTCCAGATTGGGAGAACAAAAGGATTTGAGTTTCTGTACGTTACCACAATCACACCATGAGTTGTTAACCATGAAACATACACCTCTCTTTTTCCCGGAGAGTTCTTTCTTCCTGTCCGCGTGATGGACAGAGAACCCCGCTGGCTGAATGGAGGGGAACAGTATATCCGGAGAGAGACATGATTCCATAAAACAGAGTACGCCTCCTGAGTCTGACTAAGAGCCTACTCCTTGCCTCTGGAAGTTCAAATAAAGAATCAAATTCAGGGAATTCACATTTCTGGTCAAAATCCTGGTGAGTGACTGTCGATCTAATATCCAAAAGTTATTTTCAGCTGTCGGTAAATAATCCAAGAAAAGTTCTGCGCAAATAATGTAAGAACTAACTAAAAATACTGCAAAGTTGGCTAGGAGCTACAGTGGGGAAAAAAAGTATTTAGTCAGCCACCAATTGTGCAAGTTCTCCCACTTAAAAAGATGAGAGAGGCCTGTAATTTTCATCATAGGTACACGTAAACTATGACAGACAAAATGAGAAAAAAATATCCAGAAAATCACATTGTAGGATTTTTTATGAATTTATTTGCAAATTATGGTGGAAAATAAGTATTTGGTCAATAACAAAAGTTTCTCAATACTTTGTTATATACCCTTTGTTGGCAATGACACAGGTCAAATGTTTTCTGTAAGTCTTCACAAGGTTTTCACACACTGTTGCTGGTATTTTGGCCCATTCCTCCATGCAGATTTCCTCTAGAGCAGTGATGTTTTGGGGCTGTCGCTGGGCAACACGGACCATATGACATTCTCCCAATCCTCTTCTGGATCATCCAAATGCACTCTAGCAAACTTCAGATGGGCCTGGACATGTACTGGCTTAAGCAGGGGGACATGTCTGGCACTGCAGGATTTGAGTCCCTGGCGGCGTAGTGTGTTACTGATGGTAGGCTTTGTTACTTTGGTCCCAGCTCTCTGCAGGTCATTCACTAGGTCCCCCCGTGTGGTTCTGGGATTTTTGCTCACCGTTCTTGTGATCATTTTGACCCCACGGTATGAGATCTTGCGTGGAGCCCCAGATCGAGGGAGATTATCAGTGGTCTTGTATGTCTTCCATTTCCTAATAATTGCTCCGACAGTTGATTTCTTCAAACCAAGCTGCTTACCTATTGCAGATTCAGTCTTCCCAGCCTGGTGCAGGTCTACAATTTTGTTTCTGGTGTCCTTTGACAGCCCTTTGGTCTTGGCCATAGTGGAGTTTGGAGTGTGACTGTTTGAGGTTGTGGACAGGTGTCTTTTATACTGATAACAAGTTCAAACAGGTGCCATTAATACAGGTAACGAGTGGAGGACAGAGGAGCCTCTTAAAGAAGAAGTTACAGGTCTGTGAGAGCCAGAAATCTTGCTTGTTTGTAGGTGACCAAATACTTATTTTCCACCATAATTTGCAAATAAATTCATTAAAAATCCTACAATGTGATTTTCTGGATTTTTTTTCTCATTTTGTCTGTCATAGTTGACGTGTACCTATGATGAGAATTACAGGCCTCTCTCATCTTTTTAAGTGGGAGAACTTGCACAATTAGGGGCTGACTAAATACTTTTTTTCCCCACTGTAGAAACAGGGCGACCATGTCTGTCGGCGCCATCCTGTTGTGTATGTGTGCATGTGAACAGTAGTGTTCTATATGAGTGTGTGTGTCCAAGGTATTGATGGGTCTTGAGGCCTATGAGTGTTGAGCTGTAAAAATATAATTTCCACATGTTACCCTCCTGTGAGACCAGGTGAGAGTGTGCGTGTGTTGTGTGTGTGTGTGTGTGTTTATGTGAATGTAGTATAGTGTGCTGTGTTTGTGCTGTGTGTGCACCTGTGTGTGTGCTTTGTATGTCTGTCTGTATGTGTATACACAGTGTGTGTGTTACCTTGTTGCCCATGTTGACATTGGCGTTCTTGGTGAGCAGCAGAGAGACCAGGTCCACACTGCCCTCCTGTGCAGCCAGGTGAACAGGGCTGATGCCCTGGCGGGTCACAGCGTTGGTATCCGCCCCGTACTCAAGTAGCGTGGTCCCTATGTCCATCTGGTTCTTCTTGGCAGCTATGTGGAGGGGTGTGTAGCCATTCTAAGAAGAAGAGACACAGGGGAAAGGTATTCAGCACTCTCTGAGTGTACTCTATTCCAGGAGTTCCCAAACCTTTTAGCATCGGGGACCCCTTTTGTGATAGCAAATTCATCATGGACCCCCTCATAATATCAGAACACAACTCTTACTTTAGAGTGTGATGAAAATACCATACAAGCAGTTTTACTATGACTTCAGTACATGACCGGAGAAATCAAGTCTCAGGCCCTGGGAAATAATATTTTAAAGGCCCTCCTCTTGGCATCAGAGAGAACATTTTGCAGCTACTTTCCTGCAATTCTACACGTTTTGCCTTGGGCAAAGAGAACAGTTAGCAGTTTTAAAGCTAATTTCTTGCAATTCTACACATTTGCCATGGGGCAGATTGTGCCATTTGCAGTTTTTAAGTTTAAATTGCAGTGTGTTTATGCCCCCTGCTCTATTCTACTCTATTCTATTATTTTTCCAAATATTTATCTGTATGGGACCTCATTTGGGTTCTAGATAAAGAGATTATAACACACAGTACACTGTAAACATTCCATAATCTTAGCTAGGTGCAAGATTTAACTTAAGGCCTTGGTTAGCCTAGGGATATCTTTTGTTTTATTTAAATAATTAAAATAGTCTTGTCAGACACATTTCAACCACCAGGGTGATGTTAACAGAAACAACATGTTTCACCCTCTTCTCCCTTCACTGGACACACACTACTAAACAACAATAGCGGCAGGCAGGTAGAACAAGAGTTTTTGGCTGGGTGTTAAAGCCAGATCCATCCCAACATCCCAAAGGGTTTCCCTGGAGAGAACTGTTAGAGGAGCTCCACTGGTGGTATGACACTACAGGTGGGCTTTAACGCCATGGAAAGTCCAAGGGGTGCAGGGCGGTGGGGGATGTAATAAAGAGAGCCGAGAACATGGGTAGAGGCAGTAGGCAGATGTGGAAAAGCAAGACAAGCTCTTGACACCTACTTCGACTGTCATATAAGAAAGAAGGTAACTCAGTGCAAGGCAGTAATATTAGTTCATACCATGATAACAAGCATATCATATCACAGTTGATGACACAGTAAGACTACATGCATTAAATCAGATTTGTTTTTCTTATTCTACGACTGTTTTGGGTCATTGGCTTTCCAGACAGTATAATTTTCCAGTTTTCCATCTCTCTGTCTGTGTCACGATCGTCGGATACAGAGGACCAAGGCGCAGCGTGGAAGGTGAACATATTTATTAAATAATGATTACACGAACAAAAACAACAAATCGATACGTAACGTCCAAAGGTGCAAAACACAAACCTACACAGGAACAAGATCCCACAAACACTGGGAAAACTGGCTGCTTAAGTATGGTTCCCAATCAGAGACAACAAGCAACAGCTGATACACGTTGCCTCTGATTGAGAACCACACTGGCCAACATAGAACTACAAAACTAGAACGAAAAACAAATGAAAACTCACACCCTGGCTCAACATACTAGAGTCCCCAGAGCCAGGGCGTGACAGTACCCCCCCCAAAGGCGCGGACTCCGGCCGCGCCAACCAAACACCACAGGGGAGGGACCGGGTGGGCACTCCGCCTTGGCGGCGGATCCGGCTCCGGGCATGATCCCCACTCCCTCTCCAACCCCCTAAAGTACCCCTGGTCCGGTCTGGCCCCGCTGGCCGGAGCTGGACTGCACACTGGTGGAGCGGATTGCTCTAGCTCCGGCGTGAAGCAGCTGACCGGTGCCGGACCAGGCACCGGTGGAACAGGCACGGGCCGTGCCGGACTGACGACGCACACCACTGGCTTGGTGTGGGGAGCAGGAACGGGCCGGACCGGGCTGGCGACGCTCACCATAGGCTTGGTGCGGGGAGCAGGAGCGGGCCGGACCGGGCTGGCGACGCGCACCATTGGCTTGGTGCGGGGAGCAGGAGCGGGCCGGACCGGGCTGACGAAGCGCACCACTGACTTGGTGCGGAGAGCAGGAATGGACCGGACTGGGCTGGCGACGCGCACCACAGGCTCGGTGCAAGGGACAGGAACAGACCGGACCGTACTGGGGACACACACCACTGGCCCTACGCAGGGATCAGGAACGGGCCGGACCGGACTGGTAACACACCCCAGTACCTCTCGCCGTGCCTCTACACCTTCCTTCCCCTTTTTGACCAGTGGCCCCCGTAACCTGGTGGCCTCCTCTGCCAACCCGCTGGGCCGCTCTATCGCGGTCTCCTGCTGCCCCGTCGTCCACGGCGTGAGCCCCCCCCCCTAAAAATTCTGGGCTTCTCTCCTACCCGTGGACCAGGTCTCCATATCTCTTGCCAGCCTTTCGCCCTTCTGCTTCCAAGTCAAGCCCCTCTCTTCCTCACACGGCTTGACCCAGTCGAGGAGGCGAAGGAGATCCGCTAGAGATCTCCCTGGCGATGGCTCCTGGACACGCTGCTTGGTCCAGTCTTGGTGGGAACTTCTGTCACGATCGTCGGGAACAGAGGACCAAGGCGCAGCGTGGAAGGTGAACATGCTTTTTATTAATGTTACACGAACAAAACAACAAACGATACGTGAAGTCCTACGGTACAAACACAAACCAAAAGGAACAAGATCCCACACCATACTGTGGGAAACAGGCTGACTAAGTATGGTTCCCAATCAGAGACAACAAGCAACAGCTGATTCACGTTGCCTCTGATTGAGAACCATACTGGCCAACATAGAAACACAATACTAGAACGAACACAAATGAAAACTCACACCCTGGCTCAACATACTAGAGTCCCCAGAGCCAGGGCGTGACAGTCTGTCTATCTGTCTGTCTCTGTGTGTGTCTGCTGTGACTGAAGCCAAAGGGGCAGGCAGCTGAGAAACACATAGACTGTTTCCTGTCATGTGACTTATAAACCTTAATCTCAACATTTCACCAAGCCAAGCCTAAGCTTCCTAGAGAATATTTAGTTTATTTTCCAAAACACTGAAAGTAGATAAGAGACACTGACTGTAGCTTGTTAACACAGATTTACAGTGCCTTCAGAAAGTATTCACACCCCTTGACTTTTTCCACATTTTGTTGTTACAGCCTGAATTTAAAATTAATTAAATTGAGATTTTGTGTCACTGATCTACACACAATACCCCATAATGTCAAAGTGGTGCTATGTTTTGTAGAAATGTTTACAAATTAATAAAAACTGAAAGGCTAAATGTCTTGAGTCAATAAGTATTCAACCCTTTTGTTATGGCAAGCCTAAATAAGTTCAGGAGTAAAAATGTGCGTAACAAGTCACATAATAAATTGCATAGACTCACTCTGTGTGCAATAATAGTGTTTACCCCATCTCTGTACCCCACATATACAATTAAATGTAAGGTCCCTCAGTCAAGCAGTGAATTTCAAGCACAGATTCAACCATAAAGACCAGGGAGACTTTTCCAATGGTCTGCAAAGAAGGGCACCTATTGGGTAGATGGGTTAAAAAAAAAAGCAGACATTGAATATCCCTTCGAGCATGCAGTTATTAATTACACTTTGGATGGTGTATTAATACACCCAGTCACTACAAAGATACAGGTGCCCTTCCTAACTCAGTTGCCGGAGAGGAAGGAAATCGTTCAGGGATTTCACCATGAGGCCAATGGTGATTTTAAAACAGTTACATAGTTTAATGTCTGTGATAGGACATAACTGAGGATGGATCAACAACATTGTAGTTACTCCACAATACTAACCTAATCGACAGAGTGAATAGAAGGAAGCCTGTACAGAATACAAATATTCCAAAATATGCATCCTGTTTGCAATAAGGCACTAAAGTAATACTGCAAGAAATGTGGCAAAGAAATGAACTTTTTGTCCTGAATACAAAGCGTTATGATTGGGGCAAATCCAACACAACATATCACTAAGTACCACTCTTCATATTTTCAAGCATGGTGGTGGCTGCATCATGTTATGGGTATGCTTGTCATCGGCAGGGACTAGGCAGGTTTTTTTGTTGAGAAAAAGAAACGGAATAGAGCTAAGCACAGGCAAAATCTTAGAGGAAAACTTGGTTCTGTCTGCTTTTCAACAGACACTGGGAGACAAATTCACCTTTAAACAGGACAATTACCTAAAACACAAGGCCAAATATACACTGGAGTTGGTTACCAAGATGACACTGAATGTTCCTGAGTGGCCTAGTTACAGTTTTGACTTAAATTGGCTTGAAAATCTATAGCAAGACTTGAAAATGGTTGTCTAGCAATGATCCACAACCAACTTGACAGATCTTAAATAATGATTTAATAAAATAATGTGCAAATATTGTACAATCCAGGTGTGCAAAGCTCTTAGAGACTTACCCAGAAAGACTCACAGCTGTAATCACCGCCAAAGGTGATTTTAATATGTTTTGACTCAGGGGGTTGAATACTTACTTAATCAAGATATATTAGTGTTCAATTTTACATAAATCATTATTCCACTTTTACATTAGTGTATTTTGTGTAGGTTGTTTACAATTTTTTTACAATTAAATCAATTTTTATCCAATTTTTAGCACAACAAAATGTGGAAAAAGTAAAGGGGTGTGAATACATTCTGAAGGCACTGTATAGAAGGAGAGAGAAAGAGAGAAATATTGTTTTACAAGGCTTCAATGTTTCTCCATCCAAGAGAGTTTTATTGGATGTAAGTGGACAGCCTGAGCATGATTTCCAACACTACAGCAGGGCCTGTACGACCACAAGACAACCAAAAGGTGACCCTAAGTCACTGGGCATGGTCCACTCTGGCACATGTAGAGCTTCGTCTGACTGTTATGCGGTTCAACAACAGCAGTAACTAAGTTACCATGCTTTTCTATAGGACCACACAGAAGGCTGTGACAGTCATGACAAACAAGCAGTATGAAGCAGTCAACTTAGCACTGAATCCTATCACACAATAGCATATATACTATATCATACATTGTTCCTCTTTGAAAGACAGCAATGGAAGTGTAATCACTCCTATCCTCTCCTGTTCTCATCATCATTGGTTAATAAAACAATCAGTTTGTAGCATGATGTACCTTTTACTGAAGTGTACTCTTTCAGCTACTAGATGTATTTAAAGTTAAGCCAATCCAAATATTAAACCCAACTCTCACAGACAATGTCAAAGAAAACACAGGCCAAGGACAAGAGACAACAAACAAATGTAAACACATTTAAGTGGTCCTCTGTAGCTCAGCTGGTAGAGCACGGCGCTTGTAACGCCAAGGTAGTGGGTTCGATCCCCGGGACCACCCATACACAAAAATGTATGCACGCATGACTGTAAGTCGCTTTGGATAAAAGCATCTGCTAAATGACGTATTATTATTAGTAAGTGTATAAAAAACACAAATTAATGAATGGTTCATCAGTTCGTTATCAGCTGGTACTGTAATGGTTATCAGCTGGTACTGTGGACCAAAAGGTAAAAAATCTTCATTATGCCTGCTTTACAGTATGTGGTACATTTTCACAACTCTTAATACAAAACTCAAAAAATCATCAAAAAGGCACATTTTCAATTGACTAAGTAAAACACACAAAATCATACAGCACTTTTTCACCAAACCTAATCAGTGTTTCATCTACAAATACATGTTTCACATTCCAATACAGGTTCATATAAAGTTATTGCCTTTCACAATGCAATGTTTCATTACATACGATTCTCTTCTCTTTCATTAAAAATACATTTGACTATTACTTAATCCTACTGCTCTTAATTGATGATCACTTAAACGTTTGGTAAACCTATAGATTTTACATGTAAACTGGTTTGTACTTCAGATTTTGAGAACTACATAATGAAAATGTATGTCTGTAAAGTAGAAATAAAAAGTATGAAACAAAAAAAGTATGAATGTTCTACTATGATGATAACTATTACTTCAGTCACAAATCAAATCAAAGTTTATTGGTCGCGTACACAGATTAGCAGATGTTACCGCAGGTGCAGCGAAATGCTTGTGTTTCTAGCTCCTACAGTGCAGTAATACAATATCAATACAAAACAATACCAATACGTAAATAATCCAGAAAGTCCAAAACAAGAAAGAAATGCATCCCCTATACAGTAAACATCTATCCAAAAGTTGCTGGCCAATGCAGTACTATAATACTGTAATATATGCCATTTACATAGCAGACTCTTTTATCCAAAGTGTCAACATTCCACACATTTTGGTATGTGACCCCAGTGGGAATCGAACCTACACCTCTGGTGTTGCTAGTGCCATGCTCTTATCAACTGAGCCACAAACAGGACCACTACAATACAGAAGTACAATACAATACTGTAAAATACAATACATGATTACAATACAGCTGGAAGATGTATGATTGCCTTCCCCATGAGTGTACCACCATCCTTCAGGCCATAGATGAGGCATGCAATGATTTAAATTGAGACATACAGTACCAGTCAAAGGTTTGGACACACATACTCATTCAAGGGTTTTTCTTTATTTTTACTATTTTCTACATTGTAGAATAATAGTGAAGACATCAAAACTATGAAATAACACATATGGAATCATGTAGTAACCAAAAAAGTGTTAAACAAATCAAAATATATTTTATATTTGAGATTCTTCAAAGTAGCCACCCTTTACCTTGATGACAGCTTTGCACACTCTTGGCATTCTCTCAACCAGCTTTCTTTCATTTCTTTCATTTGATTACATTATGAAAGATGTATTCAGTGATCACACCCTTGATCACACATGGGATAGAAATTATGGAAATGTGATGTTCAGTCAATGTGAAAACAGTGTAATGTACTGTAATTTACAGTACTGTAGCATACTACATTCAAAGGGCCATTTTGAAACATGTACAGTATGTTGCATTTGTTGCTATTGGATTAACTGGTTGTTAAAATAACTAAATTGAGAAGGTATGATGATTCAACTTATATTTTGGATCAATGGTTGTGTGGCGCAAGATGTCTACAAACAAAATGAATGCACAATGAAAGGTTTTGAATGTATACTGGCTGCATTACAAGTGTTACCAGTTTGGAGTTTTGTACTAAGAGTTTAGAGAATTCACCACATACTTGTGAAAATTGTACCAAAGCGAAAAGAAAAATAAACTGTAATCAGATCAATGGACCCAAATCAGTATGGTCAAATCAAATCAAATGTTATTTGTCACATGCGCCGAGTACAACAGGTGTAGATCTTACCGTGAAATGCTTACTTACAAGCCCTTAACCAACAATGCAGTTCAAGAAATACAGTTAAGAAAATATTTACTAAATAAGCTAAAGTCAAAAAATTAAATAGGAAAGTAACACAATAAAATTATATAACAATAACGAGGCTATATACAGGGGGTTCCGGTACCAAGATATGGTACTAGTCCCATTATGCTTGATATGGTGTGTGTGGTTGTGTATGACATTGTGTGTTTGAGTGAAGTACCTTGGCGGCGGCGTGGGGAGATGCTCCCTGATCCAGAAGCAGTAGAGCCACTCTCTGATTATCGTAGTGAGCAGCTACATGCAGTGGAGTTAGCCCACTCTAAAACACACACACACATGCAACACGGCGTTAGAAGGAGCCCAAACACCAAAGCACCAGGAGGGGGGAAGCCAGAACATAATCAGAACAGAAGGAAAAGCCATGGAGCTGATGGAACCCACTCAGACGGGGACCTGTTTTAGCGTAACACCACTGAGCACACAAAGCTGAATGAAGCCCACTTACAGTGCATCCACACAACTATCAAAATGCTGAATATTTAAACAGAAATATATTCAACAGAAAATGTATTTCTAGTGATATACAGTCACCCTGGAAACCAAATAATGTTATTGTGTGTGCCTGACAGCCTACATATTATTTTGCTACAGTGTGGATACACCATTCGATGGGAACTTGTTTTAGCGTACACAACCAAGCACTGTTAAACCACAAACACATTTTTTGAAGAGTCTCCATCTTCATTACGATACCTGCTTGCTGTTATGTTAAGCACATTCAGGTGGATGGACACACAGACTCTGATCTGACACATCATTAGTACCAGTAGGCTCCTCATAAGTGTGTGTGGGTCTTTGTGTGTGTGTGTCTGTTCGTGAGCATGTGTGTGTGTCTCAGAAGAGAATGAATGAGTGGATGTCATCAGGAGGAAAAAAACAACTATGCACAGAAAGTTTTAGTGGAGGACAAGCATCTGTTTGCTGTGCTGTCTTGGGAAAAGTCATGATTTCCCTCAGTTCAGCTGCAGCTCCTATAGTCTATCTTCAGTAGGGTTCTGTTCCTTTTTAGAAGGACGCAGGTGAGACCAGGGTAGGAGGCCAAAGGCCTACAGGATGACATATGACATCCATTCCAACAGAGGGGAGGGGAGAGTGGACATGTCTCAAACATCACAACCAATCTCATAGAACTAGAAGCAATTCAAATTCGATGGCCAAGCGAATGTTGTTGTATTTCAAGAGTTGCTTTCTTCACATATCCTACCTTTCCAGCTGCATCTGGAGCTGCTCTCTTCTGAAGAAGCAGGCTGGCCACTTCAATCTTCCCATACTTGGCTGCCACGTGAAGAGGACTGAACCCTTTCTGTAGAAGACATCAGGTGACACATCATCAACATGAGACAGCCAGGGAGAACAGACCTGCTCTGACAACCTAACTGACAGCACTATCTGTTGAACATGAGAGCTGAGGTGCATTCAAGATGTGTAAGGTTCTATAATGTAGCAAACCGTTCAACAACAGCAAGAGACGGGGACACTGCAATGGCATACTGTTAAATAACCTTATAGTAGGGTCTTGTTCACTTTAGCTTCATTGCCATGTGAAAGGAAGTATGGTGGGTGCTTGGGAAAGGTGTTTGTCTTGCTCAGTGGGTTGTGATAACCTGAGAAAATATGTCACTGGGTCTGTTTTTCATATCCTATTCCTCATCTATAAAAGGATAGCGTATAATGTGATCATGTTCATCTTGGTGAAGTCCCTCTGTGTTAGGGAGGGTATTTTAAGACCATAGGTCATATTTTCCAGATGAATGTGGAACTCCCACAGATAACTCCCATATCACACACAGCAACCTTTGGCCTAATTTTTCCTAATGTTGTGATTCACACTCAATATTGCCATGTAATTGTGATGTGCTGTTATGGCCTACTTTTCTTCAGGTGCTGTTCTCTAACATCTCCAAAGGAATTATACTTCTTGTTGCAAAGAGGATCCTCCATGATATTATTGTTAAAACAAAATAACTGTGTTTGGTTTGGCGGTCTCTGCAGTCACTGTACTGTGCAGTACTAGCACAGCCAATCAACTGGTCCCACTATGACTTGACGTCATGCCTCTGGACAGCTACGGTACCTAAGGTACTGTCCCCTCAGATATAGTGTGTGTTTTAGAGAGAGTGAGAGCGAGAGAGAGAGAGAGAAAGAGAGAGAGAGAGAGAGAGAGAGAGATGGAGGCACAAAATCACATGGCACAAAATCACATGTACACATGCGCACACATGCACCAATACCCCAAGGTCTTATTTGACCTTCAAGAAGCTCATAGCTCAATTACGTGTGTGGAAGTGTAAGGAAATTAGCTTTCATGTCATTTCCATCCTGATAAGGTTTAGGAAATGAAAAAGAAACACCAGTGATGAGGAACAGTGGCTTCAAAGGACTATTGTTCTCCAATCAATGTTAGAAATGTTCAATCCACACTGTCCTTAGCCTGACCCTACAGATCATCAACTGACTAAACCACAACGACCATGGTTGAACTGCTAATAATAAATCGAAGTAATTCTTTATTTGTGAGTGCTTGCTTCTAATTTTCTGGTTGGACCCTAACCCAATCACACCGACCTTAGTGGATGCTGAGAGCGATGCACCCTGGTCCAGCAGCATGGCGGCTACGTCCTCGTGGCCTTCGCGGGCAGCCAGGTGGAGGGGTGTGTAGCCTGACGTGGTGGCAGCATTGGCAGAAGCCCCCCGCTGCAGCAGCTGCTGGACGATGTCGGCCTTCCCCAGCCGGCTGGAGATGTGCAGCGCCGTCTGGTCGTCCTGGGGGGAGACAAACACGATTATATTCTGTCCATTCCCTTCACAATGTTAAAAAAAGTGACACCAAATCAGTTCACAACCCAGTTAGACAACAAAGGTGTATGTGGAGGACTCCCTGACCCCTGCTCACCTTGGCCTTGGTCTCCACATTAGCTCCATTCTGCAGCAGGTATCGCACCACGTCTGCCTGACCTGCCCGTGCTGCCATGTGCAGCGCTGTCTCACCCCTCTGGAACACACACCCACACACCCACACACCCACAACCACAGACAGACAGACAGACAGACAGACAGACAGACAGACAGACAGACAGACAGACAGACAGACAGACAGACAGACAGACAGACAGACAGACAGACAGACAGACAGACAGACAGACAGACAGACAGACAGACAGACAGACAGACAGACAGACAGACATTGGTAATCTTCATGGTATGTATTACTCAATTTTGACTAGCTTATAATTTTTTGTTGAATATCTGAAGAGCTGAGTGTAGTGTGACACCCACCACGTTGGTGGTGTTGGGCGAAGCTCCGTGATGTGTCAGAGAGTTGACAATGTTCTCATGTCCCATGAAGGCTGCCACGTGAATAGGAGTAAGTCCAGACTGCAAGCAAATCACAATGATAGTTACCAATCAATAGCATGGGTTCAACTGTACCTACAGTATATCTTCCAACAGGGGTGTCAAACATATGTCCCGAGGGCCAGATTCGGCCCGTGAGGGGGTCCAATCCGGCCTGCAAGTGGTTTGAGTAAAAAAACATTTACAATACACTTTATTTTATATACAGATTATTCTTTTTTTGGGGGGGGATGATCTAAATATACTTTAAAATGACTACAACCAAATCAAATCTGTGTAGAAATGATAATGGACCTACATTCATACAGTTTCTTGACTGTGTCCAGCTTGCTAATAATCACCAAAATGAAAGCTAGACACAAGGAGCATCGAAAATTCCCAAAACGATGGCTAGAGGACTATTCTTAGCAAATGTTGACGGACCTACATACCTCGTTGAAGACCAAATGCGGTCCACAGGGCAAAATGAGTTTGACACCTCTGTCTTACAGTAAGAGAAACGCACACATGAATTATTTCCTCCTACCCCTAACGCCCTGTGTGTTACCCCAGGCCCAGCCCAGCCCTCTACCCCTAGCGTACCTCGGTCACAGCCTGGATCGATGCGCCGTGTTTCAGCAGCAGCTCCATCACTTTGACGCGATTCTTCTTGCAGGCGATGTGAAGTGGGGTGAAGCCATTCTAGAAACAGAATACCACAAAACCAAGTCTATAAACAGAAACTACTCAACTCCTCAGGCATTTTGGCACATATCTACTTTCTAAGGAAAATGGCAGTTTCCCTTTACCCCTATTTTTTATGTTGTAGTTTAAACATGTGAGAGAGTAAGCTCGTACTGTAAACCTTAACTGAGTTTTATGCCACAATCGTGTAACAATTGTCCACACAGTTTCTCCTTGCCACTAAACCACAGAGCCACCACAACCATGGTTTCAGTCACCACAAAGCATGACAACATACTCAGTGAAGTGTTCCAAATCAGTATTTTCTCTCAAAACACACACAGGCACGCACACATACATGTGCATTCTCAAACATGTAGCTCTGCAGATCATCAAACACAAGCCACTTGAAGGGAGTATCTATATGAGAGCTTTATGAGAGCTCTACCCACTATAATAATAATAATAATAATAATAATAATAATAATAATAATATGCCAATTAGCAGACGCATTTAGCAGACGCTTTTATCCAAAGCGACTTACACCCACTGTGTTGTTGTGAATGGCACATAACTGTGGGATGGGCGTGCATTGTCACAGCTCTGATTACTTTTATCAGTATGGAAAGGGGAAGTTAATGTGCTATCAGGAAATGAGCATGGCTAAAGAAAAAGACAGTTGCCAACCCCACCCAGGGCGCAAAAGTCATAACTTCCTTCACTTCATCTCACTTTCTTATTCCCCCATCCTCACTCTATCTATTTGTCACTTGCAATTTAGATTTTCCTCTCATCACTGCAAGATAACAGAACACAAACAGACACAACTCCCAGAACATTACACAAGCGTAGTCAGCAGAGTGACATGAGAAATCCGTCCCACCCTCTCCACAACGTCTTTGAGCTCCTGCCCTCAGGTCACAGGTTCAGGATTCTGTGTGCACGAAAATGCTGCTATGAAAAGTTGTTTGTACCCACAGCATTTGCACAGCAACCAAAATAAGAACACTGAAATGTGACACTGAAATGTGAAACACTGTGGCACTGAAAATACAATATTTTCTTATGTAAACAGTTTTTTAACTGACACTATTTTTATGTTGTTTATAAGCCGAAGACAAATGTCAGTTTCTAACTAAAATGGACAAAAGCATTTGAATCTTGAATTTGTACACCCTCTTCTTACACGGCAGCCCAACCCTCCACCCAGCTTTCTCACCAGTGCTTTAGCATTAGGGTTGGCCTTCTTGTCCACTATGAGCTTGGCCACTTTGTAGTGTCCACAGTGGGCAGCCACGTGTAGCGCTGTCAGGTAGTCATTGGTGACATCATCGACGGGGACGTCATTCTGGAGGAGTAGCTGGACACAGTTGATGTGGTCGCCCTGAGTGGCCATGTGCAAAGGGGACAGCCCGTTCTAGAAGGGTGACAGACATATCGTTATATCAATGTTCTGTAGCGGTTGAAAATGTAACATTACAGCAACGTTCTGTGACAATCACAATTCTATCAGTGGTAGGAGACATTTGCAAACAACTTTAGATCAATGCTTTGCAAATGTTACCTGGATGAACATGTGTTTTACAAGTTATTATAAAGCTATATTATAATATTACAAGCAAATATTATAATTTGAGCAACAAAGTATATGATAGGAGCAGGTGTTACCTTCGTCTTGGACAGAATGGGGGCTCCGCGGTCCAGCAGAATCTTAACCACTTGTTCATGACCGCTCCTCGCTCCACAGTGAAGAGGTGTCAGTCCGTCCTACACACAACAACACGGTCAATAGGACCACAGAGTGGAAGGTCATGAAACATTCAGCCCACTATTGACTGAAATGCTGAAAAAACATATCTTGATAATATTTAAGTGAGTGCATACATACTGTATTAGAACAGGGTTAAAAAATATAACATGATCTGTCATCAATGAAAAAGTGCTGCATGTTAGGCAGTTAGGCATATACATGACAACATGCCTACTTCTACTACAAAAAATATAGAATGGAAGGCACTCATATATATATATATAAACTGTGTTATATTTAATTATGTGAAGGCACTCACCTTGGTCTTGCCATCTATTTTGGAGCCTCTGTCCAACAGCAGTTTGACCATGTTACTATTTCCTCTTTTAGATGCCACATGGAGAGGTGTGATGTCATTCTGTTAGAACACAAAGGAGGTAGGAGTGAACCACAGTACAGAGCTGTGAAAATTATCTGGATGTTGTCCATATGGCAATACTTAGTTCTCTGAGTAAACCTAAACAGCATCTGAAACTAATAAGGGAAAGACGCCAGCCTTCTATTGTTACAAAAACATCATTTGAGAAACAAACATTTGACAAACTGATATTCAAAGTATTCTGAATGGCATGTGTGGTATGTTTAACTAAGGGGGTGTAAAGCTGTTCATTATTGAGTATTATATGCCATCTCTTGTGTAATTTACTGTGGAGCGAATCATTCATTACTGTCGACTTCAAATAGAAACACAAACACTACGGCCAGATGCTGCCGTTTCATATAATTACAGGCTATCATTGTTAACCATTAAGCTAACCTCTAATGTTGACGCAAATAGGGGGTCTGTTGTTACACTCGTTGATATGTGTTGTTATGATTTCAACACTATCACTGTATGATCTGAGTACAGTATAAACAGTTGAAGTTGGAAGTTTACATACACCTTAGCCAAATACATTTAAACTCAGTTTTTCACAATTCCTGACATTTAATTCCCTGTCTTAGGTCAGTTAGGATCACCACTTTATTTTAAGAATGTGAAATGTCAGAATAATAGTAGAGAGAATGATTTATTTCAGCTTTTATTTATTTAATCACATTCCCAATGGGTCAGAAGTTTACATACACTCAATTAGTATTTGGTAGCATTGCTTTTAAATTGTTTAACTTGGGTCAAACGTTTTGGGTAGCCTTCCACAAGGTTCCCACAATAATTTGGGTGAATTTTGGCCCATTCCTCCTGACAGAGCTGGTGTAACCGAGTCAGGTTTGTAAGCCTCCTTGCTCGCACACGCTTTTTCAGTTCTGCCCACACATTTTCTATAGGATTGAGGTCAGGGCTTTGTGATGGCCACTCCAATACCTTGACTTTGTTGTCCTTAAGCCAGTTTGCTCCAACTTTGGAAGTATGCTTGGGGTCATTGTCCATTTGGAAGACCCATTTGCGACCAAGCTTTAACTTCCTGACTGATTGCTTCAATATATCCACATAATTTTCCTTCCTCATGATGCCATCTATTTTGTGAAGTGCACCAGTCCCTCCTGCAGCAAAGCACCCCCACAGCATGATGCTGCCAACCCGTGCTTCACGGTTGGGATGGTGTTCTTCTGCTTGCAAGGCACCCCCATTATCCTCCAAACATAACGATGGTCATTATGGCCAAACAGTTCTATTTTTGTTTCATCAGACCAGAGGACATTTCTCCAAAGAGTACGATCTTTGTCCCCATGTGCAGTGGCCAACCATAGTCTGACTTTATTATGGTGGTTTTGGAGCAGTGGCTTCTTCCTTGCTGAGCGGACTTTCAGGTTATGTCGATATAGGACTCGTTTTACTGTGGATATAGATACTTCTGTACCTGTTTCCTCCAGCATCTTCTCAAGGTCCTTTGCTGTTGTTCTGTGATTGATTTGCACTTTTCGCACCAAAGTACGTTCATCTCTAGGAGACAGAACGCGTCTCCTTCCTGAGCGGTATGATGTCTGCGTCGTCCCATGGTTTTTATACTTGCGTACTATTGTTTGTACAGATGAACGTAGTACCTTCAGGCGTTTGGAAATTGCTCCCAAGGATGAACCAGACTTGTGGAGGTCTGGATGGATCTTTTTTCCCATGATGTCAAGCAAAGAGGCACTGGGTTTGAAGGTAGGCCTTGAAATACATCCACAGGTACACCTCCAATTGACTCAAATTATGTCAATTAGCCTATCAGAAGCTTCTAAAGCCATGACATCATTTTCTGGAATTTCCCAAGCTGTTTAAAGGCACAGTCAACTTAGCTTCTGACCCACTGGAATTGTGATACAGTGAATTATAAGTGGAATAATCTGTCTGTAAACAATTGTTGGAAAAATTACTTGTGTCATGCACAAAGTAGATGTCCTAACCGACTTGCCAAAACTATAGTTTGTTAACAAGAAATGTGTGGAGATGTTGAAAAACGAGTTTTAATGACTCCAACCTAAGTGTATGTAAACTTCTGACTTCAACTGTAGGCAGTGGGAGGGTGGGGTGTTTTGAAGCACTATATGATGCAAAGAGGATGTAGTCTGTTGTGTGTAATTCTCCATAGAGTGTAGGGGAGTGTGGCTAGTAGCTCCTCCTGTGCAGCAGAGGGCAGAGCAGCCTTACCCTGGCCATGAAATCCACAGCGGCCCCTCGGTTCAGCAGAAGCGTGGCCACGTTGATGTTGCCATAGTGAGCAGCGATGTGGAGAGGAGTGAAGCCGCTCTGAGGGAGCAGGAGGAGAGCAGAGCACACAACAACAACACAGGAGTGAGAGACAATCAAGGGATTGATATTAGTTTCTCATATTAGCTATACTCGCATAAGTATACAGGCTACTACTGTACACATAAACAATCAAATATTACTTTTCTCACTGTGGCAGAGCAAGTCTTTGTTTTGAAAACCCGAACACAAATGCTGTAGACTGGAGTGTGAATGGTATGTTGACGTTCATATGTCATACCATTCGAAGTGATCATGAGTTTTCATGATTATTTCAATCTTACAACAGTGTTATACTGGATCATAACACATGAACTACCACACAATAAGGATAGACATAGGGGCATAAAGTCTGCAGTTACTGTAGTTTATGTAGGATTTCAACAACAACAGCCTGTTACCCCATGTATCATAAATACATGACTTCTTCATACAGTGGGGGAAAAAAGTATTTAGTCAGCCACCAATTGTGCAAGTTCTCCCACTTAAAAAGATGAGAGAGGCCTGTAATTTTCATCATAGGTACACGTCAACTATGACAGACAAATTGAGAAAAATAAATCCAGAAAATCACATTGTAGGATTTTAAAATAATTTATTTGCAAATTATGGTGGAAAATAAGTATTTGGTCACCTACAAACAAGCAAGATTTCTGGCTCTCACAGACCTGTAACTTCTTCTTTAAGAGGCTCCTTTGTCCTCCACTCGTTACCTGTATTAATGGCACCTGTTTGAACTTGTTATCAGTATAAAAGACACCTGTCCACAACCTCAAACAGTCACACTCCAAACTCCACTATGGCCAAGACCAAAGAGCTGTCAAAGGACACCAGAAACAAAATTGTAGACCTGCACCAGGCTGGGAAGACTGAATCTGCAATAGGTAAGCAGTTTGGTTTGAAGAAATCAACTGTGGGAGCAATTATTAGGAAATGGAAGACATACAAGACCACTGATAATCTCCCTCGATCTGGGGCTCCACGCAAGATCTCACCCCGTGGGGTCAAAATGATCACAAGAACGGTGAGCAAAAATCCCAGAACCACACGGGGGGACCTAGTGAATGACCTGCAGAGAGCTGGGACCAAAGTAACAAAGCCTACCATCAGTAACACACTACGCCGCCAGTGACTCAAATCCTGCAGTGCCAGACATGTTCCCCTGCTTAAGCCAGTACATGTCCAGGCCCGTCTGAAGTTTTGCCAGAGTGCATTTGGATGATCCAGAAGAGGATTGGGAGAATGTCATATGGTCAGATGAAACCAAAATAGAACGTTTTGGTAAAAACTCAACTCGTCGTGTTTGGAGGACAAAGAATGCTGAGTTGCATCCAAAGAACACCATACCTACTGTGAAGCATGGGGGTGGAAACATCATGCTTTGGGGCTGTTTTTCTGCAAAGGGACCAGGACGACTGATCCGTGTAAAGGAAAGAATGAATGGGGCCATGTATCGTGAGATTTTGAGTGAAAACCTCCTTCCATCAGCAAGGGTATTGAAGATGAAACGTGGCTGGGTCTTTCAGCATGACAATGATCCCAAACACACCGCCCGGGCGACGAAGGAGTGGCTTCGTAAGAAGCATTTCAAGGTCCTGGAGTGGCCTAGCCAGTCTCCAGATCTCAACCCCATTGAAAATCTTTGGAGGGAGTTGAAAGTCCGTGTTGCCCAGCGACAGCCCCAAAACATCACTGCTCTAGAGGAGATCTGCATGGAGGAATGGGCCAAAATACCAGCAACAGTGTGTGAAAACCTTGTGAAGACTTACAGAAAACGTTTGACCTGTGTCATTGCCAACAAAGGGTATATAACAAAGTATTGAGAAACTTTTGTTATTGACCAAATACTTATTTTCCACCATAATTTGCAAATAAATTCATTAAAAATCCTACAATGTGATTTTCTGGATTTTTTTTTCTAATTTTGTCTGTCATAGTTGACGTGTACCTATGATGAAAATTACAGGCCTCTCTCATCTTTTTAAATGGGAGAACTTGCACAATTGGTGGCTGACTAAATACTTTTTTCCCCCACTGTATGTGAATGTAACCTATTTCATTCACTGGTGACTTCCTAATGACACCATGGCTTAGAGGGAAGCAGCAGTCCAAGCAAGAGGAATATAAGGGAAAGGGCACATTTCAGCTAAAGCTATCCAATCAGGGACTTAATTTTAGATAAAGCTATCCAATCACAGAGATCCCCATTTCAATTAGCCAATAATCCAGTACAAAGCAGGTGGTTGACCAAGCTTCCAGCACATAAACTACTAAAGTTGTGAGCATTATACACTGTTCTATTTATGTTATAAGAATAAACAAATCCGCTTGAGGTTTCATACAATAAGATATATTTTTGCATTAAACACTTAATCATAAACGTAATATCTCTGACATTCACCATGGGACACAGATGGTTCCATTAAGTTTAAAACACATTAGAAGGAGTTAATCCAACTATCCAAACTATTGATTGGCAATGCTTTTAGCATCTACTATCATGCAGTGATATCTACATTTACGAAGCCAAGTAAAGATACTAGCCATATCCGCCAGCCTGGTAGCCATGCTGACCAAAACAGGCATTCTGAGAGGGCAGCCCGCTCTGCCATTGTTTTTGGTGGGGTGGGGTCCTTCTGTTTTTACTCTGGAAACAGCACTAACAGAAGTAACTAACGTCCCATGCACAAGCCTAAAGGGGATGGGGTTGGGAAGTTAAGATCTAAATGCGGTCTAATAACCAAACTAGTAGACCATTTCTCTGCTGCTGGGAGGCTGGGTTCCTTAAACCTAATAGGCCAGATTATAGTAAAAATACAGTCTGCTAAACAGTAAGACTTGTCTGTATTGAGCCATAACGTGATTTATCATTAACCATGTTATGGCAGGATATCTATCTTGGAACCAATTAAAACCTTGGAACCCATGGAATCCTTGTAACCCATGGAAACCTTGTAACCCATGGAATCCTTGTAACCCATGGAAACCTTGGAACCCATGGAATCCTTGTAACCCATGGAAACCTTGGAACCCATGGAATCTGTGGAAACCTTGAAACCTATGGAAACATTGGAACCCATGGAATCCTTAGAAAGAAACCTTGGAACCAATGGAATTCTTTCAAAACTTTGGGACCCATGGAAACCTTGGAACTCGTGGAATCCTTGGAACCCATAGACAACTTGGAACCCTTCTTGCCTCCAGCTACAGATATCCACAGTCCACATCAGTATTAGTAAGACATGCTGCATTATTACAGAACAATCGCTCTCTATCTACCAGTAATAACAGACAAACTACATGAATGAAGCAATGGGGAAAAGGCAAAAAAACTGAAAGAGAAGGGAGATATGGGGCTGCAGCAACACTAGTGTATGATATAGGGGGTTGTTTCTGTTTTTTGGGGGGGCTGCAATGGATAGAGTAAGTACTGTACAGTGTACAGGTATACCTCTGTCGTTCTATTCACCATCATCTAGGGGAGAGGGTACAAGACCAGCCAAGAGAGGAGAGAACTGGTGGTTAGTGTGCACACAACATCACACAACAAGGAGAGATTACAGGTGGAGTTACTTGAGTAGGTCTCTAGTTGGCCAGAGAGATTACAGGTGGAGTTACTGGAGTAGGTCTCTAGTTGGCCAGAGAGATTACAGGTGGAGTTACTGGAGTAGGTCTCTAGTTGGCCAGAGAGATTACAGGTGGAGTTACTGGAGTAGGTCTCTAGTTGGCCAGAGAGATTACAGGTGGAGTTACTGGAGTAGGTCTCTAGTTGGCCAGAGAGATTACAGGTGGAGTTACTGGAGTAGGTCTCTAGTTGGCCAGAGAAGTTATAATACAGAAACTGGCGCTGATGTTAAGATTAAAAGTTGCTAAATTCCAAACCAAACTGTCAGTTGTGGTTAAATTGTTCCACAGGATATAAGGTCACAGTACAGTATCAGCCATATCTCTTTATATCAATCTGCATCTTTCTTTCTCACCTCTCTGTATTATCTTACTCAGAATAATGTAATGCATTATTACATATGCACCTACACAAAACCTCAAAGTAAAAAAATAAATTAAAAAAACGAAATAAACAACAAAGAAATTGTTTTTAATAAATTAGATTAAAACAGATGAGCCTACTCATATGGGAAAAGAGCCAGGAAGACAGAGGTGAGAAGCAAAGGGAGAGAGATAACATTAGCAGAATGTAGTGTAGCGGTCACCTTGGACTCTACATCTGCATTGTGGTCATTCTGGAGCAGTAACGCTGCAGCCTTGGTGTCATCCTTGCGGGCGGCGATGTGCAGGGCGGGCAGACGCACCTTGCCCTTGGTGTCGTTCTCCAGGAGCAGAGACACCACCTGGTCATGTCCCTGCTGCAGAGCCACCGCCAGGGGGGTGAACCCGTCCTGTTAGAGGGGGACAGGGGGAAACTTAGTTAGAGGGGTAGGGGAAGTGAGTGACATAGACATCGCACATTTCCACAGCAATGATGAACCACTATAGTACTGTGTTACTAAAGACACAGTGTTACATGACCACAGGGGTAGTGCTATGGGCAGTTTTGCCTATGATCTTTTCTGGATTGACTGACCTTCATGTCTTAAAGTAATGATGGACTGTCATTTCTCTTTGCTTATTTGAGCTATTCTTGCCATAATATGGACTTGGTCTTTTACCGAATAGGGCTATCTTCTATATACCCCCCCTACCTTGTCGCAACACACCTGATTGGCTCAAACGCATTAAGAAGGAAAGAAATTCCACAAATTAACTTTTAAAAGGCACACCTGTTAATTGAAATGCATTCCAGGTGACTACCTCATGAAGCTGGTTGAGAGAATGCCAAGAGCATGCAAAGCTGTCATCAAGGCAAAGGGTGGCTATCTGAAGAATCTCAAATATAAAATATATTTTGATTTGTTAAACACTTTTTTGGTTCCTACATGATTCCATATGTGTTATTTCATAGTTGTGATGTCTTCACTATTATTCTACAATGTAGAAAATAGTAAAAATAAAGAAAAACCCTTGAATGAGTAGGTGTGTCCAAACCTTTGACTGGTACTGTATACAGTTGAAGTCGGGAGTTTACATACACTTAGGTTGGAGTCATTGAAACTTGTTTTTCAACCACTCCACACATTTCTTGTTAACAAACTATAGTTTTGGCAAGTCGGTTAGGACATCTACATTGTGCATGACACAAGTAATTTTTCCAACAATTGTTTACAGACAGATTATTTCATTTATAAAGTCAAGGTATTGGAGTGGCCATCACAAAGCCCTGACCACAATCCTATAGAAAATGTGTGGGCAGAACTGAAAAAGCGTGTGTGAGCAAGGAGGCCTATAAACCTGATTCATTTACACCAGCTCTGTCAGGAGGAAAGGGCCAAAATTCACCCAACTTATTTTGGGAAGCTTGTGGAAGGCTACCCGAAACGTTTGACCCAAGTTAAACAATTTAAAAGCAATGCTACCAAATACTAATTGAGTGTATGTAAACTTCTGACCCACTGGGAATGTGATGAAATAAATAAAAGCTGAAAGAAATAATTCTCTCTACTATTATTCTGACATTTCACATTCTTAAAATAAAGTGGTGATCCTAACTGACCTAAGACAGGGAATTTTTACTAGGATTAAATGTCAGAAATTGTGAAAAACTGAGTTTAAATGTATTTGGCTAAGGTGTATGTAAACTTCCGACTTCAACTGTATATAAATTATTTGGATCAAAATCCGTCATGAAATCTTATAGATGATGTCATGAAATCTTATTTAAATAATACATCTATATTCCTCAAAGTCTGACCAAATATCTTACTTTGCCTGTCTTTTTTTCAATCTGACGACAACACCTACAACCCAAAATCTATTGCACTTCATCGAACATCAAACAGATACTTTACATTTCACAGCATATAGAGTACATTTGACAGCGTGCAGGAGTATATACTGTAAACAATACATAGGCAGCTCTCAGTGTAAACCAGACTATACAGTGAGGGAAAAAAGTATTTGATCCCCTGCTGATTTTGTACATTTTCCCACTGGCAAAAAAATTATCAGTCTATAATTTTAATGGTAGGTTTATTTGAACAGTGAGAGACAGAATAACAACAAAAAAATCCAGAAAAACGCATGTCAAAAATGTTATAAATTGATTTGCATTTTAATGAGGGAAATAAGTATTTGACCACCTCTCAATCAGAAAGATTTCTGGCTCCCAGGTGTCTTTTATACAGGTAACGAGCTGAGATTAGGAGCACACTCTTAAAGGGAATGCACCTAATCTCAGCTTGTTACCTGTATAATAGACACCTGGGAGCCAGAAATCCTTCTGTCCACAGAAGCAATCAATCATTCAGATTCCAAACTCTCCACCATGGCCAAGACCAAAGAGCTCTCCAAGGATGTCAGGGACAAGATTGTAGACCTACACAAGGCTGGAATGGGCTACAAGACCATCGCCAAGCAGCTTGGTGAGAAGGTGACAACAGTTGGTGCGATTATTCGCAAATAGAAGAAACACAAAATAACTGTCAATCTCCCTCGGCCTGGGGCTCCATGCAAGATCTCACCTCATGGAGTTGCAATGATCATGAGAACGGTGAGGAATCAGCCCAGAACTACACGGGAAGATCTTGTCAATGATCTCAAGGCAGCTGGGACCACAGTCACCAAGAAAACAATTGGTAACACACTACGCCGTGAAGGACTGAAATCCTGCAGCACCCGCAAGGTCCCCCTGCTCAAGAAAACACATATACAGGGCCGTCTGAAGTTTGCCAATGAACATCTGAATGATTCAGAGGAGAACTGGGTGAAAGTGTTGTGGTCAGATGAGACCAAAATCGAGCTCTTTGGCATCAACTCAACTCGGCGTGTTAGGGGGAGGAGGAATGCTGCCTATGACCCCAAGAACACCATCCCCAACGTCAAACATGGAGGTGGAAACATTATGCTTTGGGGGTGTTTTTCTGCTAAGGGGACAGGACAACTTCACCGCGCATCAAAGGGACGATGGACGGGGCCATGTACCGTCAAATCTTGGGTGAGAACCTCCTTCCCTCAGCCAGGGCATTGAAAATAGGTTGTGGATGGGTATTCCAGCACGACAATGACCCAAAACACATGGCCAAGGCAACAAAGGAGTGGCTCAAGAAGAAGCACATTAAGGTCCTGGAGTGGCCTAGCCCGTCTCCAGACCTTAATCCCATAGAACATTTGTGGAAGGAGCTGAAGGTTCGAGTTGCCAAACGTCAGCCTCGAAACCTTAATGACTTGGAGAATATCTGCAAAGAGGAGTGGGACAAAATCCCTCCTGAGATGTGTGCAAACCTGGTGGCCAACTACAAGAAATGTCTGACCTCTGTGATTGCCAACAAGGGTTTTTGCCACCAAGTACTAAGTCATGTTTTGCAGAGGGGACAAATACTTATTTCCCTCATTAAAATGCAAATCAATTTATTACATTTTTGACAGGTGTTATTCAGGATTTCTTTGTTGTTATTCTGTCTCTCACTGTTCAAATAAACCTACCATTAAAATTATAGACTGATCATGTCTTTGTCAGTGGGCAAACGTACAAAATCAGCAGGGGATCAAATACTTTTTTCCCTCACTGTAGAGGCTGATGGGGATAAAGGATCTTATCTCTGGCCTGCTCAAGGTCATTCAGCTCTACTATACACTACCAATCAATGAGGCGCTGCCTGCTGGAGTCCCTGAACCCACCACAGAGAGGGAGAGAGAGAGAGAGAGAGAGAGAGAGAGAGAGAGAGAGAGAGAGAGAGAGAGAGAGAGAGAGAGAGAGAGAGAGAGGGAGAGAGGGAGAGAGAGAGAGAGAGGGTGGGGACATAGAGAGCGAGACAGAGAGAGTTAGAGAGAGTGAGAAAGAGAGAGAGAGAGCAATAGAGCAAGATTTGGAGTGTGAGTGAATGAGAGGGAGGCAGGATGCAAGAGAGAGAGGCAGTATGCAAGAGAGAGAGAGTGTGGAGGAAAGGAGGGAAGGAGAGAGAGGTAGTAACAGAGAGAAAGAGGGAGATGGAAATAGAGAAAGAGAGAGGGGATATATAGAGAGAGTAAAAGAGGTGGTGGAGAGGATGGAGTTAACCATGCAGAGCTGGAGATAATATGGAGGCAGGGAGAGAGAGAGAGAGAGGGGGGGGGGGAGCAGAGCAGTGAACAACTTAACAGGCAGGGTGGGCGGGGACACACACCTCGGTGGCCATACTCTGGCTGGAGTTGTGTTCCAGGAGGAAGCGAACCACCTCCAGATGGTTCTCTTGGGCAGCCATGTACAGCGGGGTGAAGCCATTCTACAAGAGAGGACCAACAGGAAACTCAACAATCAATTATAAAGCACACAGAGTAGCCTATATTATGACAGACAAATACAGTATATCATACTTTATCATACCACAGCTCAGACAATTTATACAGTACCATACAAAGTATATTACACAACTTCCATAGTAACCGTGTGCAGTGAAAAAAAGCACTCTTTGGTGGAGTGAAACATTCCAGTGATCTTTGTCAGCACTGTCTATTGCTATTGATCTGTGGAATGTCTCAATGGGGCAAGATTGGGGTTTTTGATGAAAGGAGAGGGAAACACATATTTCCCCTTGTCTCAGAGATGTGAAATGCATGGACAGCACAATCCTAGAGAGTATATTCCCAGTCAGAACCCTGCCAGACTAATACTTCTGCTCTGGCAGATCTCTCAAATGAATGATTTTCTAGTGGTGAACGGATATAGAGATGTGATTGTGTAGATGTTTCATTTATAAAGATATGGTCATGTTAATATGTTAATATATTTATGGAATACAGTGTTTATGGAATACAGTGTGAGTCCTATACAGACTTGTTGTCATTAGAATGTGTGTTTAATGATGTGTTCTGATGTGTTCTGTATCTCTGACCTGAGTGTGTGTAAAGTATACCTAAGTTATGTGTGTGTGTTATGGATATCCTACCTGAGACTGTGCGTTGACATTGGCTCCATTGGTCACCAGCTCTTTCACCACTTCCGTTTGGCCGGCCAGGGAGGCTATGTGAAGAGCGGTGTTTCCTTTCTGGATTAGACAGGAGAATGAAAGGCATGTCAGTTAATCCCTCCCCCACCTGTCCCAGTGTACCATTCCCTGCGCCCCCTTGCCAAACCTCAGTTATGCCTTTGTAGCGCTGGCATTTTCGCTTTGGCCTCCCGCTGGCCCTGGCTGCCATTGATGTGTCACTTCCGATGTACCACGTCCCACACATAAACAGGCTGCCCTCGTACCACCACCGTAAATAAAACCTGTGTAGTTTTTAATAAACCACCAGCGGGTTCTGAGCGGTGTGTTGACCCCGAGCATCCACGTGATGGAGTCTCTGATGTCAGCAACACTGTTGCACAATATCAACATAACTCACATAGAGTACAGTACTGAACATGAGGAGGTGAGCATGTTTGACTTATGGATAAAGACAACAGCTGGTAAAGACAACAGCTTTTGTGAGGGAGTTCCTACTCTCTGCTCAGTGTTTGAGTAGTTTGAAGACTCTCCTTAGTGTTGAATTTTTCATAGTGCTCAGTGTTTATATATAACTAGCATCTGAATTGTTACTCATCATGCATGTAGTTCACTGAACCATCTCTGCTACATGTGGACCTACAGTGTTGGCTGACAGCAACAAAGCAACAAAGCAGTGATAGATGCAGAGTGGGACTAACCTTGGTTGCTGCATCCACATTGGCTTCTAGTTTCAGCAGCTCAGCCACCACCTCCACATGACCCTCCTTAGAGGCCAGATGAAGAGCGTTCAATCCATTCTGAAAGAAATGACAGAAAGTGTTTAAATATATCTATGGCACCCATACATTCTCTGTAAAACAGACAGATTGTGCACATGGCGTGAGATTATTCAGATGAGGAACTGCTATGCCTTTCAAATCCATTCAAATTAGTGATTCATGTTGTGGCCTTGTTAAATCAAATCAAATAACATTTTATTTCTCACATACATGTGTTTAGCAGATGTTATTGCGGGTGTAGCGAAATGCTTGTGCTTCTAGCTCCGACAGTGCAGTAATATTTATCATATTTATCACAAAATTTATCATTGGGCTCCCGAGTGGCGCAGTGATCTAAGGCACTGCATCTCAGTGCTTGAGGCGTCACTACAGACCCCCCTGGTTCGATTCCAGGCTGTATCACAACCGGCCGTGATTGGGAGTCCCATAGGACGGCGCACAATTGGCCCAGTGTCGTCCGGGTTTGGCCGGTGTAGGCCGTCATTGTAAATAAGAATTTGTTCTTAACTGACTTGCCTAGTAAAATAAAAAAAAATATCTAACAAGTAATATCTAACAATTTCACAACATACAGTTGAAGTCGGAAGTTTACATACAGACCCACTTTTCAACCACTTCACACATTTCTTGTTAACAAACTATCGTTTTGGCAAGTCGGTTAGGACATCTACTTTGTGCATGACACAAGTAATTTTTCCAACAATTGTTTACAGACAGATTATTTCACTTATAATCCACTGTATCACAATTCCAGTGGGTCAGAAGTTTACATACACTAAGTTGACTGTGCCTTTAAACAGCTTGGAAAATTTCAGAAAATGATGTCATGGCTTTAGAAGCTTCTTATAGGCTAATTGACATTATTTGAGTCAATTGGAGGTGTACCTGTGGATGTATTTCAAGGCCTACCTTCAAACTCAATGCCTCTTTGCTTGACATCATGGGAAAATAAAAAGAAATCAGAAAAGACCTCAGAAAAAAAATTGTAGACCAGCCAAAACTGAGTTTAAATGTATTTGGCTAAGGTGTATGTAAACTTCAGACTTCAACTGTATACCCAATAAATAAATAAATGTTAAACAATTATCACACAGCCACAGGATTAAATGTATTTACTGCATATAGTTTCAGTTACATTAAAAGTATTGTATTGTGTACAAAATGAATGAATTGAACAGCAGATGTTGGATAATAAGCCACCCACCTGGTTGCAGATGTTGATTTCCACCCCAGACTTGAGGTAGTCCAGGGCCTTTTCCAGGTTCCCAGCCCGCGCTGCTCGCAGGTAACTGGCATTGCTGTCCGACTAAGAAGAGAGAGAGAGAGAGAAATATAGATCAAATACAGGCCACATACTGTACATACATGTGTCTACTGCTCTACAGCAGAGGGCTAGAATGAAAGCACTGGTTCATTTTCTCAGGGATTCGCTGCGATAAACAGTCACACACACATGTAAACACACACATTACACACAAACCAAAAATCTCAGATACTGTACCAGAATCATGTCTTTCTCAAATCCCCAAAACCCAAAGGTCCTTTGATTCGTGTAGAACGGTAGCTACATTTTAACTGTATTGCAAAGTACTGTAACGGTATACGAAAATAACACATCCCAAAGATCCAGCCAAACAAATGTAGCTATTATCTATCCCAACAAATTGTCATTCTGCATCATCCTTTCTTCATATCAGATCCCAGGACATTGTGATGCTAGCAGCGACAAACCCAAATATCTCACGACTCCAGAGTAAGACAACGGTGGGTGGTCCTGATTGTCAACATAGAAACCTCTATCTAAAAGTAAAGATAAGAAAACACACTCTCAGGAGACCATACTCTTAGTCCTCCTTTTCTAGAAAGAGAGAATGTACTGTATTATCCCTCCTTTCAGCTTTGCTCTTCTTTATTTTAAAATAGAGAGGGCTTTGTGCACAAAAATAAATGATGACACAAGCAATTTTGGGGTTTTGCCCATATAACAATTGTTTGTGTGTGGACAGGAATGTATGTCTGTGTCTGTGCATGCGTGTGTGTGCATGTGTGTATGTGTGAGTGTGCTTATGTGTGCGTGTCTGTCTTGCCAGCTCATGTCAGATTGTTCTGTTTGTGTCTGGGACATTACACAACAGAAACGGACACATAGCAAAGTCTGCACCTTTGCTTGCTGTAATTGTATGAAGTTTATTTCCAAAACCCTCAGAGCATGCAGTTGAGATAGACTGCTACATAAAGGGTCTAAGAGGCTAAATTCCCCTGAATTAACCAAGGCCCAGACCTTCTAAATTTAGCCCGTTTCCAGAGACACTTACAGTAAACTGGCAGACCCAAACAACATGAGTGCCACAACATTTTCCCCACCCCCATACTTTTCCAGGAATAACTCTGATGGGCAGAGGCTGGCTTGACAAATGACCAAGACATTCTTCCAGATTGCTCCAGTGATAGGGAATCAGAGTGGACTGTGGGAGCAATGTCAGAAGAGTGTGTGTGTGTGTGTGTGTGTGTGTGTGTGTGTGTGTGTGTGTGTGTGTGTGTGTGTGGGGGGGTGGGTGTGTGTGTGTGTGTGTGTGTGTGTGTGTGTGTGTGTGTGTGTGTGTGTGTGTGTGCGTGTGCGTATACGTGCGTGAATCCCACAAGTTAGTGGAGAACAACACATTAGCAGAGATCTTAGTGTCATAGGCTACAGTGCCTTGCAAAGTATTCATCCCCCTTGGCATTTTTCCTATTTTGTTGCATTACAACCTGTAATTTAAATAGATTTTTAATTTGGATTTCATGTAATGGACATACACAAAATAGTCCAAATTGGTGAAGTGAAATGAAAAAAATTGTTTCAAAAAATTATACAAAATAAATAACGGAAAACTGGTGCGTGCATATGTATTCACCCCCTTTGCTATGAAGCCCCTAAATAAGATCTGGTGCAACCAATTACTTTCAGAAGCCATATAATTAGTTAAATAAAGTCCACCTGTGTGCAATCTAAGTGTTACATGATCTGTCACATGATCTCAGTATATATACACCTATTCTGAAAGGCCCCAGAGTCTGCCACGCCACTAAGCAAGGGGCACCACTAAGCCAGAGACACTATGAAGACCAAGGAGCTCTCCAAACAGGTCAGGGACAAAGTTGTGGAGAAGTACAGATCAGGGTTGGGTTCTAAAAAAATATCCGAAACTTTGAACATCTTACGGAGCACCATTAAATCCATTATTTAAAAATGGAAAGAATATGGCACCACAACAAACCTGCCAAGAGAGGGCCACCCACCAAAACTCATGGACCAGGCAAGGAGGGCATTAATCAGAGAGGCAACAAAGAGACCAAAGATAACCCTGAAGGAGCTGCAAAGCTCCACAGCGGAGATTGGAGTAGCTGTTCAAAGGACCACTTTAAGCCATACACTCCACAGAGCTGGGCTTTACGGAAGAGTGGCAAGATAAAAGACATTGCTTAAAGAAAAAAATAAGCAAACACGTTTGCTTAAAAAACATGTTCGCCAAAAGGCATGTGGGAGACTCCCCAAACATAAGAAGGTACTCTGGTCAGATGAGACTAAAATTGAGCTTTTTGGCCATCAAGGAAAACACTATGTCTGGCGCAAACCCAACACCTCTCATCACCCCGAGAACACCATGTTTTTCATCGGCAGGGACTAGGAAACTGGTCAGAATTGAAGGAATGACGGATAGTGCTATATACAGGGAAATTCTTGAGGGAAACCTGTTTCAGTCTTCCAGAGATTTGAGACTGGGACGGATGTTCACCTTCCAGCAGGACAATGACCCTAAGCATACTGCTAAAACAACACTCGAGTGGTTTAAGGGGAAACATTTAAATGTCTTGGAATGGCCTAGTCAAAGCCCAGACCTCAATCCAATTGAGAATATGTGATATGACTTAAAGATTGCTGTACACCAGCAGAATCCATCCAACTTGAAGGAGCTGGAGCAGTTTTGCCTTGAAGAATGGGCAAAAATCCCAGTGGCTAGATGTGCCAAGCTTATAGAAACATACCCCAAGAGACTTGCAGCTGTAATTGCTGCAAAAGGTGGCTCTACAAAGTATTGAGTTATGCACGCTCAAGTTTGATGTTTTTTTGTCTTATTTCTTCTTTGTTTCACAATAAAAAATATTGTGCATCTGTCACGCCCTGGCTCTGGGGACGCTTGTATGTTGAGCAAGGGTGTGAGTTTTCTTTGTTTGTTCTAGTTTTGTATTTCTATGTTGGCCAGGGTGGCTCCCAATCGGAGACGGCTGTAGCTCGTTGTCTCTGATTGGGAGCCATACTTAGGTAGCCGTTGGGCATTGTTTTATGTGGGATCTTGTTCCGTATGGTTGTATTGTAACCAAGGACTTCACGTTTCGTATCGTTTGTTGTTTTGTTCGTGTGATCATTCAAATTAAAAGTATGTTCGCATTCCACGCTGCGCCTTGGTCCTCTGTGTATGACGAACGTGACAGCATCTTCAAAGTGGTAGGCATGTTGTGTAAATCAAATGATACAAAACTCCCAAAAAATCCATTTTAATTCCAGGTTGTAAGGCAACAAAATAGGAAAAATGCCAAGAGGGGTGAATACTTTCGCAAGCCACTGTACATAAATGCCTGTTGGCAGAACAGTGGCAGTGAACTATTAGTGTAATTTAATTGTTTCATCTTTGAAGAGACTAATGGTACAGTATATGGACAAATGCCATAATGTTTCTCATTTAAACACCTGGTCATTTTCTGTAATAAAACCGTAGTGCTGTGACTATGAATATGAACATACCTAAAAGGCTTTGTTTGGCACATAGCAGAGGCAGTGATTCTCAATGGCAATGTGAATCTGAGGGGTAATTTCAAAGCAGGTGAGAACTTTCCATCCTATGACTCGAATGCCTCTAAAGGTCTATCTCTCTAGTACAAAGCTTTGGACAACTCCTCCTTTGACCTATAACACTAGTAACCCCTGTCCTTCATTGTGAACAGTTATTACTGCTGGCTTCTCTCCAGAGTTGGCAGACTCCTTCCCTCATTTCAGTACCCAATCCATTCCAGACTGTGTCATTAAATTACTTTGCTCCAATTCTTATTGTCTCAGTTAGAGACAACACATTATCTCAATGATTTGTAGTGACATTGAGCTCTGTACCCCCCAAAATCTTCAAAACAAAACATGAGGACAAGTGTCGTAGGTCTATTATTCATTGTTTTTTTCTAGCACAAACGCACAAGCAGACACACTTTCCCACAGTGTGTGGTGGTTACATAACAAGCACATGCTGTAAGTGACTGTCAAGGATCTCTGAGAATAGTGTATTGTAGAGTGGCTACTGGCTCTGAGGTTTGTTCAGTGTCAGATGCTTGACTCTTAACTCAGACCACTGACATCAATATGTGAGGCCACTTACTGTTCTGGTGTCTCACTACTGTTGACAGTCAGACAACCAAACATTATTTCACGCCTCAACCCATGATGTCAACATACAAAGTATAGGATCATGGATGGTGGTATCGTGGATACAGTACTAGTGCTCCTCTGAAGTTCAACTTTCATTGAAGAGCCCTCCAATTAAAGCCTACATACAAAGTATAGGATCATGGATGGTGATATCGTGGATACAGTACTAGTGCTCCTCTGAAGTTCAACTTTCATTGAAGAGCCCTCCAATTAAAGCCTACATAACTGATTTATGTTTGTCTGAAATGTATTTCACAAGCTAAGCAATAACTCTCACCACTGTCACCACTCTCACCAAGACAATGGTGGAGTGATCATGTGGAGTGTTTCCCTGCAGATGATTTGCATGTCTATCATTCATAAAGGAATCACCCAGATTCAGGGTATCTAAAAGGGATGCACTCTCAAGGAAGTTGGAGCTTAGGCCTCCCAAGATAAGACGTTCAATATGAAGTCACACTGAGTTCAGTGACCCAAGTGGCCCTGGCTCAAGACAGAATAGTCCAGACTACAGTACAGTATATAATGCTACTAGGCAACAGTCTTTAAAACCAGTCTCTCCATCACAGGCAAATGACTAGTGACACGGGTGACCACCATTTCAAATACCATCCCATCGCATTCAAGTCGGAGAGAGAAAATCGTCTTTGTGTGTAAGGAATTACAGAGGATAGAGAGAGATTAGCTTTGAAAATATGATTAAACTTTGCAGATCAGAAGTTCAAAGAAATTAGGTCATTAAAGAGTAGGCTAAGCCTGAAGGAATAGCGTTAATCTACTGTTAGATAGTTAAAGTGAGTGAGGCTCCGTCGCTCTGACTGACGACTGATTCCCTGTTAAAGAGAAAGCTCTTATTTACTAATTCAGTCTGAATTATGCTACAGCTTCACTTAGGCCAACATCATCTCAACAGCAAACATGTGGCACATTTTCTGTTAAGCTGCTATTAAAATGACAATCCAATATCTTCATGTAGGCCTATTAGGATTGTGCTCTGCTCTGTCTACACTCCTGTATCGAGGCAGAGTAGAGCTGCAAAGAGTTTTGCTAAATTA